AAAAATATCTTGTAATGCTCTAAGTTTTCCAAAAGTAAATATTTCCCTTGGTAAGATAAGAACATGAATTCTGGTAACAATCTTTATGGTTCTAAGGCTTATATTTAGGTCTTTAATCATTTTTGTACGTGGTGTGGAATACGCATGCTGTTTCATTCTTTTGCAGGTGGAAATCCAATTTTTCCAGCACCATATATTGAAAAGTTCAATTCTTACCCACAGTGTGTTTTAGTCCTTTGTCAAGAATCAGTATCTAAGGAAGAAATCAATCTGTACAAAGCAACAACTCATGGACTGCAGCTCACAGTTGGTCTATATGCACATAAACTGCTCATATCAACAGTATCTTTGCATTTACAACAGTATTCCATATCATTGTAAAAGTTATTTATGTTATCCATGCAATTGCCTTATACCCCAGGGGGGTGATTGACGATGTTTTTGTTTCTTTGGTTTATTGTTTTTCTTTTTGTTGGTTTGTTTGTTTTTGTTTTGTTGTTGTTCTTGTGGGTTTTTGTTTTTGTCATAATACGTGCAACCACCAGAGTTAAACCAGATTTGTTCATAACCCAAGGACAAGTAGATGGATTCTGGACTCCCACTTAACTCTAGCCCCAGTCCAAGAACAGTTAGTTAGTTCTTATAAAGTGACCCTGCTCAATACTCACCTTCATGAAATGATGACCAAAGATAAGCGTGCTACAGCAAAGGGTGGTGCCCAGCTATCAACTGGAATAGTGTCTGGGGTCTTAAAGACTTGTTTTAAAAGAAGCAGCCATGTAACTGAGGTATCAACTGTCTATATTGAAGAAGAACACCAGACTGTGTGGTCCAAAGATGACAATAACAAAATTCAAATATGATGAATGGAAAGTATCAAAGCTTAAATTGTGAACATCCCAATTTGTAGAAGGCTATGGAGAACAGTGGGAGGCCAAAATCCATCTGCAGTGTATCTAGTCAGATACTCTGGTAGATTCCTTCTAGCCACAGGTGAGGTACTAAAACAGCTCTACTATCAGACAGAAATTATTGTAACCTTGATTTGGGTGGACCGAACTATGGTATAATATAATTGGTCAGTTGACCTCCCTATTGACTCAACCTGAATTTGCTCTAGACTCAAATATTTCCCACTTGTTCCAAGACAGAA